CCTTCTTCCCCCACCTTACTCCCCTTTATTCTTTCTCCTCTCATTTTCTCCCTTTTGCTATTCCTTCTTTCCTCATGTACTTTCCCGTTTCTTCTGTTACCCATCTACCCTCTTTGCCCCACTGTCTCTCCTCTTTCTCATTTTCCCAGCTTCATTTTCCCTGCCTTCCTCTCTCCTCTACTCGTCCCTCAGTCCCTCTATACCTTTCCCCTCTGTTCCTTCTCCCCTTCTCCCTCCTCCTCCCTTCTCAGTTTCTTCCCTTCTTCCCTCCCTTCGTCCCCCCATTCCCCTCTACGCCTTTTCCCTCTCCCATTCTTTCTCGATTCCTTCTCCTCCCTCCTCAGTCCGCTCCCCTCTTCTCTCTCTTCGTCCTTCACTTCCCCTCTTCCTTCTTCTCCCTTCTCACTCTCCTCCCTCTCCTCGTCCCTCACTTCCCCTCTTCCCTCTCCTCCCTTCTCACTCTCTTCCCCTCTTCCCTCTTCTCCCTTCTCACTCTCCTCCCTCTCCTCGTCCCTCACTTCCCCTCTTCCCTCTCCTCCATTCTCACTCTCTTCCCCTCTTCCCTCTTCTCCCTTCTCACTCTCCTCCCTCTCCTCGTCCCTCACTTCCCTCTTCCCTCTCCTCCCTTCTCACTCTCCTCCCCTCTTCCCTCTTCTCCCTTCTCACTCTCCTCCCTCTCCTCGTCCCTCACTTCCCCTCTTCCCTCTCCTCCCTTCTCACTCTCCTCCCCTCTTCCCCCTACCTTGAGTCAGCCGAGCGTGCAACCCGAGTCAAAATGCCGATACTTTTTAATGATTTTAAAACTCTATTGTCAGCCCTTGCCTGGATCGTCTCCCCTGGTGGTTTCAAAATCCCAATTTCTTCAAATCTCTCTCTCTCTCTCTCTCTCTCTCTCTCTCTCTCTCTCTGTCTCTTCCTCTCTCTCTCTATCTTTCTCTTCCTCTCTCTCTCTCTCTCTCTTTCTCTCCCCCCCCCCCTCTCTCTCTCTTCTCTCTCTCTCTCTCTCTCTCTCTCTCTCTCTCTCTCTCTCTCTCTCTCTCTCTCTCTCCTCTCTCTCTCTCTCTCTCTCTCTCTCTCTCTCTCTCTCTCTCTCTCTCTCTCTCTCTCTCTCTCTCTCTCTCTCGCCCCTGCACTCTCTCTCATTGTCTTTCTTCTTTTCCTCCTTCGCGTTTCCCCCGGCTTTCACTTCCCTCCCCATAATCCTTCTTATCATCATTATCATTCCTTCTCTCTCCTTCCCCTATCCCTTACTGCTCTCCTTCTCCCTCCTTTTTTATCATCCTTCCTTGTTTCCTCTTTCTTCTCCACCTCCTCTCCCCTTCTCCTCCCCTCCTCCAACCCCTCTCTGCAGCGGCCTCGCCACCCTAATCGATTGGCATTTGTTTTAATGACTTAGGGCAAACATATATGTATGTATCCCTTTTCGCACTGAAACTTTATTTTCCCTGTTCGAGTTTTTCTCTCTCTTCTCTTTTTTTCTTTTTCATTTTTTACGTGTTTTTTTTTTTTTTTTTTTTGTAATCTATTTTGTTTTGGTTGAGTAGCTTTGCTTTTGTTTATTTTTGCTTTCTCCTCTTTTTTTTCGTTTTTTTTTTTGTATGCTGCCTCCCCTTTTACTTTTCTTTCCGTAGACTATCTGATTTTTTTTTTGTTACTTTTTGTTGTTATCTAAAGCGTTTGTTTATTTAGGATATCGACTTCAATTACCAGTTTTCCTTAAAATATATAATGCTTATTCTTTTACCAATAATAAGATACGAGTACACTAACATTTTTGCTCAGTTCTGTTTGTCTCTGATTTATCTGTGTTTTGTTCGATATTTCGTGGTTTTACTTTTTTATTTTTTAGGTTTTCGTTTCTTTTTCTTACTTACTTTCCTCTCAATTTCTGCTTATCTATTCCGCGGCGGATTATGTGTATTTATATCTTATGTATATCTCTATATATTATATCTTCTATATCTAGGAAGTAATTGTGTTGCTACCATCGTTATCACGTTTCTATTATTTTCATTATAATTATCAATATTCTTATTATTATTTCACTATTACTATTATTATTATCATTACTATTATTATTGATATTATTATTATTATTATTATCATTATTATTATTATTATTATTATTATTATTGTTATCATTATTATTGATATCATTATTATCATTATCATTATTATCATCATTGTTATTATTATCATTATTGTTATAATTATTATCATTATCAT